GCAGCTGGAACCAGGACCATCCAGCCCAGTCAGGGAAAGGGCATCCCCTACTACCAAGGCAGTCCGCCACTACCGAGGCAATTCACACAGCAGCTGGACAGAGCCTGCAGCAGCTCGGCAACACCTCTGCTGGCAGACTGTGACTAGACTACTCCGTGTGGGGCAGGGCATCTATGAAAAAAGGCAGCAGCATGACAGGAACTTATAAACAAAGCCCACCTTCCTAGAATAGGGCACCTGGGAAAAGAGACAGCTGCAGCAGACTTAAAGGTACCTGCCCAGCAGCTCTGCACAGAACAGCGGAGCGCCCAGCACAGCACTTGAGCTCCTATAAGGGACAGACTGTCTCCTCAATCAACTCTTCGACCCTCATATACCCAAAGAGACACCTAATAAAGGGGAGCTCAGGCCAACATCTGGCAGGTACCCTTCTGGCATGAGGATAGCAGATGAAGAAACCGGCAGCAACCCTTGCTGTTCTACAGCCCCCACAGATAATCCCCAGGCAAGCAGGGTCTGGAGTGGACCTCCAGTGGACCTGCAGCAGAGGGGCCTGACTGTTAGAAGTAAAACCAAGAAGCAGAAAGAAATAGCTTCAACATCAACAAAAAGGAAATCCACTCAGAGACCCCATCTGAAAGTCACCAACTACAAAGACCACAGGTAGATAAAACCACTAAGATGGGAAGAAACCAGTGCAAAAAGGATGAAAACACCAAAAACCAGAAGGCCTGTCCTCCTTCAAGGGATCACAACTCCTCACCAGCTAGGGATCAAAGATGGATGGAGAATGAATCTGATGAATTGACAGAAACAGGCTTCAGAAGGTAGATAATAACAAACTTCTCAGAGCTAAAAGAACATGTGCTAACCCAATGCAAAGAAACTAAAAACCTAGAAAAAAGGTTAGGTGAGATGCTAACCAGAATAAACAGCTTAGAGAACTTTGGGAAGCATACAAGAGTTTCCATATATATATATACATATATATATATATATATATATATATATATATATATATAATGCTTCTTCAATTTTACTTTAGGTATATACTATATCCAGCATTTCTCCCCATGTTATCCCTCCCCACCCCCGCTGTCCCTCCCCCAACCCCCCACAACTGCCCACAGTGTGTGATGATCCTCTCCCTGAGTCTACATGTTCTCATTGTTCAACACTAACCTATGAGTGAGAACACACAGTGTTGGGTCTTCTGTTCTTGTGTCAGTTTGCTGAGAATGATGGTTTCCAGATTCATCCAAGTGTCCTACAAAGGACACAAACTCATCATTTTTATGGCTGCGTAGTATTGCATGGTGTATATGTACCACATTTTCTTTGTCCAATCTATCATTGATGGGCATTTGGGTTGGTTCCAGGTCTTTGCTACTGCATACACAAGTGTCAACAGGCGAATTGACCGAGCAGAAGAAAGAATATCAGAGATTGAAGATCAACTCAATGAAATAAAACAAGAAGGCAAGACTAGAGAAAAAAGCGTAAAAGAAATGAACAAAGCCTCCAAGAATTATGGGATTATGTCAAAAGACCTAATCTACGTTTGATACGTGTAGCTGAACATGATGGAGAGAATAAATCCAAGCTGGAAAACACTCTTCAGGATATTATCCAGGAGAACTTCCCCAACCTAGCAAGGCAGGCCAACATTCAAGTCCAGGAAATACAGAGAACACCACAAAGATATTCCTCAAGAAGAGCAACCCCAAGGCACATAATCGTCAGATTCACCAGGGTTGAAATGAAAGAAAAAATGCCAAGGGCAGCAAGAGAAAAAGGTCGGGTTACCCACAAAGGGAAGCCCATCAGACTCACACCAGGTCTCTCAGCAGAAACCCTACAAACCAGAAGAGAGTGGGGGCCAATATTCAACATTCTGAAAGAAAAGAACTTTCAACCTAGAACTTTAAATCCACCCAAACTAAGCTTCATAAGTGAAGGAGAAAGAAAATCCTTTATGGACAAGCAATTGCTGAGAGATTTCGTCACCACCGGGCCAGCTTTACAAGAGGTACTCAAAGGACTAAACAAAGAAAGGAAAAACCAGTACCAGCCACTACAGAAAGATACCAAATGGTAAAAAGCATTGACACAGTGAAGAAAATGTGTCAACTAACAGGCAAACCATACAGCTAGCATCAAAATGGCAGGATCAAATTCATACATAACAATATTAACCTTAAATATAAATGGACTAAGTGCCCCAATCAAAAGACACAGACTGGCAAATTGGATAAAAAATCAAAACCCATTGGTGAGCTGTATTCAAGAAACTCATCTCACGTGCAAGGACACACATAGGCTCAAAATAAAGGGATGGAGGAAGATTAATCAAGCAAATGGAGCGTAAAAAAAAAAAGCGGGAGTTGCAATCCTGCTCTCTGATAAAATGGACTTTAAACCAACAAATATCAAAAGAGACAAAGAAGGGCATTACATAATGGTAAAGGGATCAATGCATTAAGAAGAACTAACGATCCTAAATATATACACACCTAATACAGGGAGCACCCAGGTACATAAAGCAAGTTCTTAACGACCTACAAAGAGACTTAGTCTCCTACACAATAATCGTGGGAGACTTTAAAACTCCACTGGCAATATTAGACAGATCAATGAGAAAGAAAATTAACAAGAATATCCAGGACTTGAACTCAGATCTGGACCAAGCAAACCTAATATAGACATCTACAGAAATCTCCACCCCAAATCCACAAAATATACATTCTTCTCAGCAACGCATGGCACCTACTCTAAAATTGACCAGATAATTGGAAGTAAAACACTCCTCGGCGAATTCAAAAGAAAGGAAATCGTAACAGTCTCTCAGACCACAGGGCAATCAAATTAGAACTCAGATTTCAGAAACCAACTCAGAACCACACAACTTCATGAACAACTGGCTCCTGAATGTCAACTGGATAAACAATGAAATGAAGGCAGAAATAAAGATGTTCTTTGAAACCAATGAGAACAAAGACACAATGTACCAGAATCTCTGGGACACACTTAAAGCAGTGTCTAGAGGGAAATGTATAGCAATAAATGCCCACATGAGAAGCAAGGAAAGATCTAAAATCGACACCCTATCATCAAAATTGAAAGAGCTAGAGGAGCAAGATCAAAAAAACTCAAAAGCTAGCAGAAGGCAAGAAATAACTAAGATCAGAGCAGAACTGAAGGAGATAGAGACACAAAAAAAATCCTTCAAAAAAATCAATAAATCCAGGAATTGGTTTTTGAAAAGATCAACAAAATAGACCACTGGCCAGATTAATAAAAAAGAAAAGGGAGAAGAATCAAATAGATGCAATAAATAAAGAGGATATCGCCACTGACTCCACAGAAATACAAATTACAATTTACTACAAACAACTCTATGCACATAAACCTGTAAACGTGGAAGAAATGGATAAATTCCTGGACACTTATACCCTCCCAAGCCTAAACCAGGAAGTTGAAACCTTGAACAGACCAGTAACAAGGGCTGAAGTTGAGGCAGCAATTAATAGCCTACCAACCAAAAAAACTCCAGGTCCAGACGGGTTCACAGCTGAATTCTACCAGACATACAAAGAAGAGTTGGTACCATTCCTTCTGAAACTATTCCAAACAATATAAAAAGAGGGACCAACATCATCCTGATACCAAAACCCGGCAGAGATTAAAAAAAAAAAAGAAAATTTCAGGCCAATATCCATGATGAACATAGATGCAAAAATCTTCAATAAAATACTGCCAAACAGTATTTTATTGCAACAGCAATATCAAAAACCTTATCCATCACGACCAAGTAGGATTCATTCCAGGGATGCAAGGCTGGTTCAACATACGCAAGTCTATAAAGGTAAACCACCACATAAACAGAACCAAAGACAAAAACCCCATGATTATCTGAATAGATGCAGAGAAGGCCTTCAACAAAATTCAACAGCTCTATATGATAAAAACTCTCAATAAACTAGGTATTGATGGAACATACCTCAAAACAATAAAAGCTATTTATGACAAACTCACAGCCAATATCAGACTGAATGGGCAAAACCTGGGAGCATTCCCTTTGAAATCTGGCACTAGACCAGGATGCCCTCTGTCACCACTCCTATTCAATATAGTATTGGAAGTTCTAGCCAGAGCAATTAGGCAAAAAAAAAAAAAAAAAAAAAAAAAAAAATGGGTATGCAATTAGGAAAAGAGGAAGTCAAACTGTCTCTTTTGCAGGCAACACAATTGTATATTTAGAAGAACCTATCATCACAGCCCAAAATCTTAAACTGATAAGCAACATGAGCAAAGTCTCAGGATACAAAATCAATGTGCAGAAATCACAAGCATTTCTATACACCAATAACAGCCTAACAGAGAGCCAAATCAAGAGCGAACTCCAATTCATAATTTCTACAAAGAGAATAAAATACCTAGGAAGAGAACTAACAAAGGATGTAAAGGACCTCTTCAAGGAGAACTACAAACCAGTGCTCAATGAAATAAGAGAGGACACAAACAGATGGAGAATCATTCCATGCTCATGGTTAGGAAGAATTAATATCATGAAAATGGCCATACTGCCCAAAGTAATTTATAGATTCAATGCTATCCCCATCAAGCTACGAATGACCTTCTTCACAGAACTGGAAAAAAACTCCTTAAACTTCATATGGAACCAAAAGAGAGCCCTCACAGCCAAGACAATCCTAAGCAAAAAGAACAAAGCTGGAGGCATCACACTACCTGATTTCAAACCATACTATAAAGCTACAGTAATCAAAACAGCATGATATTGGTACCAAAACAGAGATATAGACCAATGGAACAGAACTGAGGCCTTGGAGGCAACGCCACACATCTACAACCATCTGATCTTTGACAAACCTGGCAAAAGCAAGCAATGGTGAAAGGATTCCCTGTTTAATAAATGGTATCGGGAAAACTGGATAGCAGTGTGCAGAAAGCAGAAACTGGACCCCTTCCTGACACCTTACACTAAAATTAACTCCAGATGAATTAAAGACTTAAGCATAAGACCTAACACCATAAAAACCCTAGAAGAAAACCTAGGCAAAACCATTCAGGACATAGGCATAGGCAAGGACTTCATGACTAAAACACAAAAAGCATTGGCAACAAAAGCCAAAATAGACAAATGGGACCTAATTAAACTCCAGAGCTTCTGTACGGCAAAAGAAAATCAATAGAGTGAACCGGCAACCAACAGAATGGGAACAAATTTTTGCAATCTACCCATCTGACAAACAGCTAACATCCAGAATCTACAAAGAACTAAAACACATTTACAAGAAACAAACAAACCAACCCATCTAAAAGTGGGCGGAGGATATGAACACTTTTCAGAAGAAGACATATATGATGACAACAAACATATGAAAAAATGCTCATGACTGATTATTAGAGAAATGCAAATCAAAACCAAATTGAGATACCATCTCATGTCAGTTAGAATGGCGATCATTAAAAAATCTGGAGACAACAGATGCTGGAGAGGATGTGGAGAAATAGGAACACTTTTACACTGTTGGTGGGAGTGTAAATTAGTTCAACCATTGTGGAAGACACTGTGGTGCTTCCTCACCTCAAGGACCTAGAAATAGAAATTCCACTTGACCCAGCAATCCCATTACTGGGTATATATCCAAGGATTATAAATCATTGTATTATAAAGATACATGCATACATATGTTCATAGCAGCACTGTTTACAATAGCAAAGACCTGGAACCAACCCAAATGCCCATCGACGATAGACTGGACAGGGAAAATGTGGCACATATACACCATGGAATACTATGCAGCCATAAAAAACGATGAGTTCGTGTCCTTTGTAGGGACATGGATGAATCTGGAAACCATCATTCTCAGCAAACTGACATGAGAACAGAAAATCAAACACCACATGTTCTCACTCATAGGCAGGTGTTTAACAATGAGAACACACGGACACAGGGAGGGGAGCATCACACGCTGGGGTCTGTTGGCAGGGGTGGCGGGGCCAAGGGAGGGACATCAGGGGAGTGGGGAGGTCGGGGAAGGATTACATAGGGAGAAATGCCAGATGTAGGTGATGGGGGGATGGAGGCAGCAAACCACATTGCCATGTGTGTACCTATGTAACAATCCTGCATGATCTGCACATATACCACAGAACCCAAAGTACGATTAAAAAAGAAAAAAAAAATTTTACAAGATACATGCAACACTGTTTCTAGAATCAGAATGACCATTTTAAAAATAATTTTTGAAAAACACATAAAGGAAAATTGTTCCTAAAGGATATTCTCCCTGGATTCTCAGAGCTAATTATCATTTTACATATCACAGATGAAGATTTAGTTCAGCTTTTATGACTAGCTAGTAGCTCAAATATCTGCAAAAACTAAAGTAAAACAAAGTAGATGACTTTTTTTCCGCCCCACAAAAATCAGCCAATTCCATACTTTTTCTATTTCTACATACAAAGAAAGGAACTCTATTCTCTGGCCACAGCCTTTACACTTAATCCCAAACATCTATGCCCTATGTGAAACTCTTATCATGAGAAAGACTAAGAAAGAAAAACTAGTGAGTGTTTCAGAGCAAGCCCATCTCTGATGCTAATAAGACATGGCTTTCACACCCACTCAGGAGGCTGCTGCAGTATCCTAGAATTATCACTACAGGACCAAAGTTATGGAGAGCAGTAATAATTTGGACAAGTGTTTGGGCTTAAGAATGGATGTTAGTTTTTTGATTTATAGTTGTTTGGGCTTGAGGGCTTTACTGTTTCCATTAAACTGATAAGTATATAATAAAAAAAATTCAAACTATACAGAATAACAAAAAAAAAACACAGAAAATTATCCTGTTCACAGCAACCACAGTTCGCAGCAATAATCACTATTAACTTTTAGTGCTTATATTTTGCTTGTTTTTAAATGTATCTCCAAAAAATCATTTTTCGCCCATTATATTGGCAAAAGTTAAAAAGCACATGAATGCTAAGTGCTGACAATGTTGTAAGGCAATGAACACTCTCATGTGTTGCTGATCAGTGTAAAAGGTGCATATTAACACACTGGAAGGCAATGTGACAGACTCTATATGCTATGAATATATGTCGGTGTCCTCTCCTGCCATCCCCAATTCATGTGTTGAAACTTTAACCTACAATGGGATGGTTGTCTACAAAGAGAGTGAGTCTTTGGGAAATAATTAGTTTCCATGAGGTAGAGCCTGTATGATGGGACTGGCATCCTTATAAAAAGAGATCAACACTAGAACTCACTGTATCCACTACATGAGGACATAATAAGGAAGCAGCATCTGCAAACCAAGAATACGGCCTAGATCATGGATTTCCCTGCCTCCAGGCCTGTGAGAAATTAATGTTTATTGTGCAAGCCACCCAGTCTATGGTATTCTTGTTATAGCAGCCCAAACTAAGATGCTATATAAACTAATAAAAGTACACTATACAGTTTTCTGTATTGAGATATAATTCACTTACCATAAAATTGTGAGGCTTAGTGTATTCACAGAGTTCTGCAACCATCAACACTAATTCCAGGGCATTTTCAACACCCCAAAAAAGAAACCCTGTGCCCACTGGCAGTCACTCATCACTCTCCTCTCTCCCTAACCCATGGCAACCAATAACCTACATTCTGTCACTATGGATTTATACATTCTGGACTTTTCAAATAAATGGACTCATACAATATGTGCCCTTTTGTAACTGGCTTCTTTCATTTAGCATATTTTCAAAATTTGTCCATGGTGAACCATAAATCAGCACTCCATTCCTCTTTATGGTTGAATAATATTCCATTTTGTGGATACATTACATCTGGCTATATATTCATCAGTTAATGGACATTGGCTTGTTTCTACATTCTGGCTACGATAACACTGCTGTGAAAGTTTTGCACAAGTTTTTGTATGGACATACATTTTCTCATTTCTCTTTAAGTACCTAGGAGTGAAACTGCTGGCTCAAATGGCAATTCTATGTTTAATTTTTTGAGGATATGAAAAACTGTTCTCCCAAGCAGATGTACCATTTTATATTCCCATGAGAAACATGTAAAGGTTCTTATTTCTCCACATATCCACACTTGTTATTGTGTGTCTTTTTTTTTTTTTTTTTTTGAGACAGAGTCTCGCTCTGTTGCCCAGGCTAGAATGCAGTGGTGCAATCTCAGCTCACTGAAACCTCCGCCTCCCGGATTCAAGCTATTGTCGTGCCTCAGCCACCCATGTAGCTGAGAACATACGCATGTGCCACCACATCTGATTAATTAATTGTTGTATTTTTAGTAGAGACGGGATTTTGCTATGTTGACCAGTCTGGTCTTGAACTCCTGGCCTCAAGTGTTTGGTCTACCTTGTCCTTCCAAAGTGCTAGAATTACAGGCATGAGCCACTGTGCCCAGCCTTTTTTTCACCCTCTTGACAGTGTCCCTTGAAACACAAAAGTTTCTAATTGATGAAGTCAATTTTATCTGTTTTTAATTTTGCTGCTTAGACTTTTGCTATCACATCTAAGAAATTACCTAACCCAAGATCATAAAGATTTATATCTATGTTTTCTTCAAAGTGTGTTATAGTTTCAACTCTTTCATTTAGGTATTTGATCTATTTTGAGTTAATTTTGTATTCTGCATGAGGTAGGGATCCAATTTCATTTTTTGATATGTGGATATCCAAGTACCCCAGGACCATTTGTTGAAAGAAATGTTCTTTCTCCATTTATTGGTCTTGTAATATTAACTGTTTTAAATCTATCTAAAATTTTCTATAGTTTAATTGCGGCAGTGATGACACAACTATATGTTTATCAAAATAACTGTACACTAAGAAAAGTAAATTGTATTGTATACAAATAATATCTTAATGAACCTGATATTTAAAAATTCTACTTTAGGTCAGGCACAGTAGATCACACCTAGAATCCTAGCACTTTGAGACACTGATCTAGGAGAATCACTTGAGCCCAGGAGTTTGAGGCCAGCCTGGGCAACACAGTGAGACGTTGTGTCTACAAAACAAATTTTTTAAATTAATCAGGTGTGGTGACACATGCCTGTAGTCCCAGCTACTCAAGAGGCTGAGGTGGGAGGGTCACTTGAGCCCAAAAGGTTGAGGCTGCACTCAGCCATGATCACGGCACCACACTCCAGCCTAGGTGACAGAGCAAGGCTATCTCAAAAAAAAAAATCTACCATAGAGAAACAACTCATATATAATATAAACGATCATAGACAAGGAACATATGCTTCACAAATATTGTAGTACTGTTTGTAAAAAAAAGAACCTCGATACCATCTGTCTATCAAAAAAGTAGTAGCTATATAAAATATCATATAGTCACAGGATTTAATTATATGCAATAGTTTAAATAAATAGTTACAGATATATATCTATATCTCATGTGAATTAAGCTCAGAAATGTTCTGTTAACTGAAAAAAAAGTACACCGTTTACAAACACAATAATTTACAAAATAATTTACAATTTAAAATACATGTTTAAAAAGATATACAAAACAACACTATACAGGCTCTATGAGTATATACGTAAATATCTAAAGGTATCTGTTAAAGGTCTAAAAGAATATTCATCAAATTGATAACCCTCACTGCTTCTCGAGAGAGTGAAAAAGACACCAGGATTGGGAGGGATGGTCAGACACGAGTTGAGCTCTGTCATTTCCTAACCTCCCCTGCAAAAAATTCACTAATCACTGTGTGACTAAAAAAATAATAATAAGGGATTTGTATGAGTTATAAACAGAGGTCATAAGTATAGAACTATAGCTTTTTAATGTATGTACTCATGTGCCATCCCTGCATCCAACACACACACACACACACACACACACACACACACACACACACACACA